GACGTCTCTCAGGGGCGTCTTCCCGGGAGGGAAACCGCATCCTCTATATGCTCAGGCAGATCCGGCATCTGAAGTGGAAAAACCCCACACAAATCAAGGACAGCTGGGCCCACCCTCGGCCTCAGCCCCCTCCCCTCGGCTCCCCTCGCAGACTGAGGAATCCCAGAGGGCTGCGGGGGAGTGGGTCTGGGGGGCGAGGGTGTGGTTCTCAGGGAGGATGTTTCTGGAAGCTCCGCATGTGTGAAATCTCCCCCAGCTGTGCCCCGCGGAGGGAGGGACTGAACGGTGTTATTAATCATTTTCCAGAGTGGAGCTGCACACCCTGCGAGGCTGCCTCTGGGGGCCTGGGCTGGGCAGAGGACAGCCTGGGAAGGAGAGGAGCATGGGGGAGGGGTCCACACCTAGACTGTCTCAGACATACACGCAGAGTTGGTCACTCAGCCACTCAGCACAGGTTCATGAGCACTCACGATGCTTAGGTATGGAGCCACGGAAGGATCAAGACCGACCCCATCCCTGGCCTTGCAGAGCGCATGGGTGGGTGGAGGAGGTAGGTGGGGATCAAAATCGCCCGCAGGGAAATCATCACTGTCTGCGAAAGAGACACAGACACAGCTGGGATGGCTGGCTCATAGACCTGTGAGGCCAGGCTGGACTGTCCGCGCACCATGACCTTGCTCCCGGGACTCTCTCCGGGGTCGCCCGTCCTGGCCCTCCCCCAGGCATGCTGTGTACTTGACCTCTTCCACCTTCCCCCTGCTCAGGCCCTGCTGCCGCGTTAGATGCAACTTCTCTGCATGTCTGATGGCTGACCAGGGAGGGTGAGCAGATGGACCTTTGCCTGGCCCCTGCCTGGGCAGGGGACCCAGATGAGGTGAAAGGGGAATTGAAATTGGGCCATGTAGAGCCCTCAAAGCTAAGGGGCCCCCAGGGAGATCAGACTGGACAGAAAGGTGTGGTTGACACCTGTTTTCTCTGGACAAGAAATGTGACCACAGGGCAAGAGTTGAGCCACTCTCTCAGGGCACAGGAGCAGCCGCTCGCCCTGAGCTCCCATGTCTGGGTCTCTCCTGGGGCCCCAAAGTGACTTTTCACCAAGTGGCTCAGAGGGGGTGATCCACCCTCCCTAGGTCACACAGGAGAAAGCCAGTGGGGAGTTGGGGCTGGACTCTGGTGGCAAGGTAGGGTGGAGGGGTCACTCAGACATCCTGGGGACGAGGGAAGGCAGCAGCCCTGAGGGTGAGGGGTATGCAAACCTAGATGCTGAAACTTCCATATTTAACCTTCTAAAGGACTCTTCAGGGGGTTCCCTGGTGGTCCAGTGGTTAGGATCTGGCACTTCCACTGCTGGGTCCTTGGTTCAACACCTGATGGGGGAACTAAGACCCCACAAGCTTCATGTAGTTAAAGAAAAAAATGAAAGAGGACTCTTCATAAAGGGATAAACAGTTAGCATCTGACCGGGCAATTTCACTCCTAGGTATATACCCAACATAAACTTAGGCTCACATGAGATCTTGTAAATGAACGTTCACAGCAGCATGATTCTTAGTAACCAAAAGGTGGAAAAAAATGCAAGTATTCACCAACTGATGAATGGATAAGCAGAACATGGTCCATCCACACAGAGGAATATTACACAGCTATGAAAGGAGCGAAGCACTGACACTCACACTACAATATAAATGACCCCTTAACACACTATGCTGAGTGAAAGAAGCCAGCTGCAAAATGTCATATAATTTATGATCCCACGTGGAGATATGGGCATATAATGTATGATCTCCACATGTATGATACGTGGAGAAGAGGCAGATTCAGAGAAAAAAGGTAGATAGTGGTGGCCAGGGGCTGAGGGAGGGAAGAATTGATGCTTTTGAACTGTGATGTTGGAGAAGACTCTTGAGAGTCCCTTGGACTTCAAGGAGATTCAACCAGTCCACTCTAAAGGAAATTAGTTCTGAATATTCATTGGAAGGACTGATGCTGAAGCTGAAACTCCAATACTTTGGCCACCTGATGTGAAGAACTGACTCATTGGAAAAGACCCTGATGCTGGGAAAGACTGAAGGCAGGAAAAGGGGATGACAGAGGATGAGATGGTTGGATGGCATCACCGACTCAATGGACGTGAGTTTGAGCAAGCTCTGGGAGCTGGTGATGGACACGGAAGCCTGGCGTGCTGCAGTACGTGGGGTTGCAAAGAGTCAGACACGACAGAGTGACTGAACTGAACTGAGCGGCTGACAGGTATGCGATTTCTTTCTAGAGTGATGAATATGTTCTGGAACTCATTGTGGTGATGGTTGTACAACACTGTGAATATGCTGAGAGCTGTTGAATTTGAGAATGGTGGCCGAATTAGGTGGCTGAATTGCATGGCAAGGGAATTGTGTTTCAATGAAGCTCTTCCTTCAGAGTCAGGATGGAGTTTTCCACTTTAGGGACCAGAGGTCTGGGCTGGCAGGAGCCTGAGGGCAAGGTCTAGAGGAGGAGGAGGCTGGGACCCATTCCCCCTGGATGGGCTTGGCTCTATCCATCCTCTGCCTCCCCACCCGGCTCCCATCACTGTGCTCTCTGAGGCTGAGCCTTCCCCCGGCCGACTGGGATGCTTTCCTGCTGCTTGCCTCACCATCATCTCCTCTAGAAATCCCTCATCAGCCTCTCCCTCCACTCCCATCCTTCCACTGGCTGGTCTTTATTGAGTTCCTGTCAGGTACCAGGCTCCATGAGGAGCTGGGGATACACTGGTGAACAAACATCCCAAGGCTGTCATCCTGGATGTCCCCAGATCTGCACCCACCCCTCACCTGAGAGGGCTTCCCTGATGGCTCAGATGGTAAAGAATCCACCTGAAATGCAGGAGACCCGAGTTCAATCCCTGGGTTAGCAAGATCCCCCGGAGAAGGGAATAACTATCCATCCACCCTGAATATTCATTGGAAGGACTGATGCTGAAGCTGAAGTTGCAATACTTTGGCCACCTGATGCGAAGAGCTGACTCATTGGAGAAGAGCTGACTCATTGGAAAAGACCTTGATGCTGGGCAAGACTGAGGGCAAGAGGAGAAGGGGGTGACAAAGGATGAGATGGTTAGATGGCATCACCGACTCAATGGATGTGAGTTTGAGCAACTCCAGGAGATAGTGAAGGACAGGGAAGCCTGGTGTGCTGTAGTCCATGGGGTCACAGAGAGTCAGACATGACTTAGTGACTGAATGATGACAGCTCACCTGGGAGCCAGGTGGTGGGTGGAGATAGGGAATCAGCGGCCAAACATGGAGCAGACTCTTGTCTCTGAACATCACTCCCCCACCCTCAGCGTGTTCAGTGTCCTGCTGCCCTTGGTGAATTCTTCCTGGAAAGTCACCAAGCAGGCGTGTGTGTGTGTGTGTGTGTGTGTGTGTGTGTGTTGAGGGCAGGGACTAAGGGAAAGGCATTCCAGGAGGGAGTACAGCCAATGCCTCGCCAATGTTGGTGCTGAGGCAGGGAGACAGGGGCCACCAGGGTTTAAAGCTGGAGTTTGGAGCCCTGAGAAGTGGTTGCTGAGGTTGTTGTTGGGTGCTGCAGGTGGAGCGGGCGGCTCTAACGAGAACCAGACTGTCTGGAACAAATCCTGTTTTAAGCTAGACCAGAAGAAGAACTTCCTGTGACCCTGCATGTGCCGGCATGCACTCGAGATGGTGCTGTGCCAACACCCCGCCCACGGAACTCCTGGCAGAGTCTTGCCTTGACAAGCAGGTGCAGGTATGGCATCTGGGAACTGGGCTGGGGCCCTGGTCAGTGGTTTTCACCCCTTGGCTCTGCAGGTGGGTCGTGGAGGCCCCTGCCCCGGGGGAGGTGCTCCAGGGTTCTCTTAGGTCTGGATACCATTAGGCCCAGGAGCGGCCCATTAACCAGTAGAGGCTGTTGGTGTCTGGGCACTGGCTGGGGGAAGTCTGGCCTCTTTGAGGAGTTCATGCCCACCTGCCCCAGCCCGGAGGCCAGGAAGGCTGGGGAAGAGGCAAAGGGAGCATGTGGGTTCCATTCTGTCTGTCCCTGGGGCTGTGCTTGCCCTCTCCTGGGCGGCCTTCCTTGTGCTATGCTAGGGGCTCAGTCAGTCTGGGGGATCAGAAAACTCCCTGAGTGTCCAGTGCCCAGCAGGTCTTGTTACTGGGATGGGCCCTGAGTCTCCCTGCCCCTCAGAAGAAGCTCTCTCAAAGGACACCCACTCCTGGTTTCCCCATCACAGGTAGGTCTCCTGAATCCTTCACATCTCCAATACAGCCACTTCACCAGCGTCAGAGATGGGCCACTGACATCCCAGGGGGACACCGGGGGACTAGGCTGCACACACAGACACGTGGAGAGGCTCAGGAGACTGAGGTCTGAATTTCACTGGGCCTGTCTCCCCTGAGTATGTCTCCCGGACTTTAAAACGGTAGTCAACTTGGCTAGTCCTCTCCAACCGCCCTGTGCGTGACCCTGGCGCAGGGCAACAGCAAACCGATTGTCAGCAAGGTGAGCCGGTTCCCGCCGCAGACTTCCCACTTTCCCGGAGCCCCTCTGAGCACCAGGACCGGATCCGCGAGCCACCTTGACCCACTTGTTCCGCCCGCGCACCTGCCGCTTCGCCCGGGGCGGCGATCGGCCCTCTAGGAGCGGGTCCTTTGGATATTAGAGCAGTCCTGTCACCGTCCTGCGGCCGCCGCCGCCGCATCCCGAGCGGGCTGGGGCCTGGGGTCTCCGAGAGGGCGTGTCAGGCTAGTCTCTGAGGCTTCGAGTCGCGCCGCGGCGCCCGTGGGTACAGGCGAGTCCCGGGATGAGCAGTGGTCTAGGCGGGGCGGGGCCTTTGGGCGGGGCGGGGCCTCCCGCCCTCGCACTGGTCCCGCCCAGCTCGCAGAAGACTCGGCAGTGGGGCGCAGAGCAGAAGCCGGGCGCCGACGGGCTGCGCGCGGCGCCGGCGGGGATGTGCGCTCTCCTGCAGACCGCGCTCGCAGGCCTGGGCGCGGTGTGGCCCCATGGCAGGTAGCGGCGGCCTGGCCGGCGGGGCCGGGGGCAGCCAGGGCACTGCGGGAGGGCCCGGGGCCGCTCTTCGAGCGTCCCGTGCGCCTTTGCTGTTCGCCGTGCTGGTTCTCGGCGCTTACTGCCTCTGCGCTCTCCCCGCACGCTGCCCGCCGGCCGGCCCGGTCCCCGCGCCGGCCCCTGCGCGCGCCGAGCCGCCCCGCGCATCCCGCAGCCCTGGGGCGCACGGTCTGCCAGTGGCCAGTGGCTCGGGCCGGCGGCGCTTCCCGCAGGCCCTCATCGTGGGCGTGAAGAAGGGTGGCACGCGCGCCCTGCTGGAGTTCCTGCGGCTGCACCCCGACATCCGCGCGCTCGGCTCGGAGCCCCACTTCTTCGACAGGTGCTACGAGCGCGGCCTCGCCTGGTACCGGTGAGCGCCCGGGCCCGTCGGCCCCATCGGTTTCCTGGCGGGTGCCTTCGGGGAAACGGCGTGGTGCGCTCCAGGGGCCTCGCTGGGGACGCGGCGGGGCGAGGACTCGGGGTATCTTCTGGGGCTGAGACCAACCTGCGTGTGGGCTGAGATTTGACTTCCTTAAGCGGATTTTATGGAAAAGAAGATGGATGGCCGTGGCCTCCCAGAAACTTTGAAAACTCCGGGGAAATCCTTGGTTAGGGGGTTAGAGTGTGATTCCGGCTGAGAAGTAGTTTCCAGTCAGTGGGGTCTGAGGCGCTTTGGAAATGCTTCGTGCTCAGTCGCCCCTCTCTGCCTCATCACTTGGGGAAGGAAAGCCTGTCTGAACTCTGGTCAGTGACCTCAGGGAAGGGCCTCCTGGTTCCTTGCAGCCTCTTAGAAGTATCTGTCACCCCATTCCCACCCCAGGATCCCTGATCCTGGAAAGAGGAATCCTTCTCTGCAGTCCTGGGGGTCTAGAGAAAGTCTGGTCTTCACAAAAGAGAGGATGCCTTTGAGTCAGTGTCCAGGGATGGGAACTGGGGCCTCAACTTCATGTCATGGGACTCTGTAGCCACCCTCACTCCCACCAGGTACAGCCTCAGGGGTGTGGAGGAATGAGGGGGGCACCAGCCCCCACTGAAGTAGCCTGTTCTGGTGGCTGATTGAACACCGGCTCCTCCCTGCGGAGGTTCGCACGGAAGAGTGAGCGTGAGGCCCTGCCTGCTGCCTCTGTTGGTCGGGCACAAGTCCGCCTCGGTGCCCTATACCTTCCTTCGGGAAAATGAGAGCTTACAGATGGAGAGTGAGTCACCCCACTCCCTGTGGCACCCACCTCATCCCCAAGCCCAGGCCTAGCCCTTAAGAGCCAGTGAGGACCCTGCCCACAGTCACTAGGTGAACAAGCGGCGACTGGAGGATGGCAGGACCCAGTCTTTCGACCTCCATGTTTACCAGGCTTTCTGTACCCAGATTACACCCTGCCTCCATCCCCTTTTTATCTTTGCTTTTTGCATCAGAATCACTCAAGGATTTGCAGGGTTCCCCGTGAGAGCTGGGGGTCTGGCTCCTGAACTCTGAAGGGTGGCTGCCTTTAGGGGTCTGGGAAGTTGTGTGGTGATGGGGGAGGTGGGTCCATCCTTGGAGCTGAGTGTCTGAATCCCTGTATTCTCGGTGCTTACGGAGAGACCACTGCCCGCTCTGACAGTGCTCCAGCACCCCAGAGCATCCTTTATTTACCACTTCTGTGCACAGAAGGAAGAGGGGGAGGGGAGGGAGAAGGGGAAGGGGAAGGTGGGCACCAGTGTGCAAACCTCAGAGCTCGGCCCTGATTGGCTAGCAAGGGAGGGGCTGCAGGGGCTCTAGAGCTGGGTTTAGGCCTAAAAGGGTTCTCAAAGAGCTGGGGATCTTGAGAACCCCATCCAGACGGGTCCTCCCTGGGCACATGCTCCAGCTTTGGGGGACTGGTCTGGGGAGCCTAAGGGTCCTGAGAGGAAGCCAGCTGGACCCAGACTCCGGGTCAGGTCTTCAGCTCTGGGGAGGGGTTTTTGGGCCACTGGCATCTCTGAGGCCCAAGATGAGAGTGGGAGGGGTTCTGGTCTGTTTAAGTGGTGGAGGAGGAGTCCTTCCTCAGCCCAGCCTCTGTGTGGGGATGGGGGGGCACCGAGCGTGCAGAGGGTCGGTCCGGTCCCTCCTGCCCCTTTAATCCGGAGCTGTCCCTTGGGGCTGGCTAGCACTGACCTCTCACCGCTGGTGCAGGCCTGAGCTTCTGGAGGGCATGTGTTCACGTGCCCTCAGAGGGACGTGCCGACACGTGCACAGCTGGGCTTGGTGTTGCTCACATACACCTGTGTCCCTCAACCTGACTGTCCTTCCAGCCAGCCCTGTGTGTGCACGGAGCCTCTGAAATCCCACCCCTGCCTCAGTCTGCCTAGCTGCAAAGAGGATGCCCAGCCCCCAGGACGGGTCTGCTCTCAGGACCCTGGACCCAGCCTCCAGGGCTCATTCTGGGCGGTGGTTTGGGGCAGTGAGCAGAGGAGTAGCTAGTGCTCCAGTTGGGTTTTGGGGACACCGGTTCCTCCCAGACTGTGACTAGGCCGTGTCTCTGGCCCTTCCCTTGGCCTCGGCAGGCATCCTGGGCTACTCAAAGCTGACCTTGGCTAAACCAGTCCCCCTCCCGGGGCCTCAACTCCTCCCTCAGGCTCTTGAGGGTCCTCCTCCTTGGGGACTGGGGCCCTCAAGTGTCTCACACGGCACTTGTTCATCCATTCGCTGACTCACTGATCACCTTCTGTCTGGCAGAGGCTGGGGCCATGCAAACACCCCAAAATCTCAGCTCAGCAGGAGTGCCCTGTCTGGGGGCAAGTGGGGGCCATACTCTGACTGTGGCTTTTGGAAAAGCAGACAGACCAGGAGGGGTGCAGGTCCGGGAACCCCCTTGGCTCCTGGCACCGTCCTGTTTCACGTGGGAACCCTAGCTGGTTCCTGATGGGCCCCAGGGCCCTCGGGATGGGGCCCAGGTGAGGTGTGAGACATGGAGGAGGGGCGCTGAGATGGAGGGAGGCTGAGACAGAGACGGGTCCGGGGCAGCGGGGGAGCTGAGGGGGGCATGGATGGCCCCCCAAGGTGGAGGGGCGTCCTGAGGCAGAGACAGAGCGGGGAGTCACCCAGGCTGGATGGAAGCCGCAGGGAAATGCAGACCAGATGAGCGGGAGCGCGTGTCCACGGAGCAGCCCATCAGATGTTGGCTGTGGGGGGTCAGAGTCCTGCCTCTCTCATTCTCTCCCCCTTCTCTCCTGCCCCCCCACGAGTCCCCATCCCCACCCTCCTTCCTGCCCGCCTGCCTGGGGGACAGGCTTCTGAGGCCCGGGGGGGGGGGGCAAGTCATTGATCCCAAAGATCTTAGCTCTCCAAGCTGCTGTGTGGCAAGAGTGGGCACCCCACCCCATCCCATCCCCCTTCCACGGTGGGGCACCTCCCTCTTCCTTGGAGAGAAAGCAGCAGTGGGCACTAAGGCCCCTTTCAGTCTCCCTGACTTCCTTGCAGCCCACCCCCCTAGGCGTGAGGGGGTGGGACTGCTCAGAATCGGGGCCGCCTGTCTGGGGACCGAGAGAGGGTGCTACTGGGGTCACCAGTCACCTGGGGAGGAAGGGGATGGGAAGGGGTATCAGTTGGTGAGGAGGGTCCTGGAGCTGTTAGGGCTGGTTCCCTCCCTGCTGCGGGTGCTGACTTCTGCTGGGGTCTGTGGGCACTGGCTTCTGTCTGTGGGTCTCAGCGTTGAGGTCCAGTGTGGGGATCACCCCTCCTTCTGGCCTTCCTCTCGTGGGAAGGGGGGTTCCCTGAGCTGGCCATCCCAGGCTGCAGCCCTGGACTCGGCCCTGGGCCTTGTCCCCACCCCCAGTCTCTTTGAACTCACCCTTCAGTCCCCACCTGCATTCCGGGCTGACATGCCTCCCAGCAGCTGCAGCGCAGGGGTGGGGTGGGGTGGGGTGGGGTCCATGCCCTCCCCAGCACTTCCTGCTCCATCTCTGAACCTCAGTGTGCCTGCCTATAGATGGGGCACTGACTGGTGTGGAAGGAGTCCCAGCTCACTCCTGGGATGTGGGGGAGCAGAATTGTCCCCCATGACTTCTGTAGACCAGCTCTGCCCAGGGCTTTATTTCAAGGGATGGGGGCAGCTCCTGTAGCTGGCCGACCACACCGCCTACCCCACTCCCCAGAGCCAAACAGGGGCATTGGGAGAGTGGCAGGACCCCCGGGACCCCCACGTGCACATTCTCCGGTCCTGACATCAGCATCCTCCAAGCTGGCATCCCAACTCTTGTGTCTGTCCACCCAGCAGAGCAGAAGAGGAGACTGCCTCCCCAGGGCCGAGTCAGGGGATCACTGGGCTGGCTGAGACCTCAGTCTGGCCTGTGAGTCACCCCTCTGGATGGGACCAGTGCTGGGCGCTGTCCTCGGGGCGGGACAGCTCTGTCAGAGAAGCGGGTAGAGAACCCCGTCTCGAGCGTAGGTCCCAGCCTCTGCCTCTGTTGACCTAGTTCCCTGCCCTCCCTCGGAGCTGTTTGCTCAGCTGGCCCCGCCGCTGCACCCTGCCCCGCCCCACCCAGCTCTACCTGGTTGGCAGGGTGGCCTCGGGATGCTGCCAGGGCGAGGTGCTAGGAGGGGCTTCTCCACTGTTGGGGTGGTCAGGGCACTGTCACTCACCCTGGGATGGGATCAATGCCCCCCAACCCTGGGCCAGAGAGGGGGCTGCTGAGAGGGCTGCATGCAGGCCTGCGCCCTGGGTTCCCAGTGGGGTCTGGGCAGCTGGGCCGCTGGGGTTAGAGACGGGTGCTCAGGCCACCTCGCTAACTTCTGCAGTGTCCTGGGCTGTGTTGTGGCTTTCAGCTTTCTGGGGTGGGGAGCGGGTTGGGAAGAATTAGCAGGGCTGCCTTCAGACGCGGGGAGGGGCAATGCAGGGGAGTGACGGAGAGGAAGGCCGGATGCCCTTTGCTGGGGACACTGGTCAATAACTAATGACCTAATTCAGGGGACGCCATGAGCCACTTAATGAGAGTGTGACTGGGGTAATTACAGTGCAGGGGCCTGCGGGGGTGGGGGGGCAAGTGGATCCTTGTGGGCGGCAGGCCTGGGGCCCTTGGCCTCATGAGCATCGGGTCTGGGGTGAGAGGCACCCCTGTCAGGGTTGGGGTGCAGCTGAGCCCTGTGGGGGTGTGAGCAGCCTTGCAGGTTGGGCCCCACTTCCAGCCTGTGCCGAGGCTGGGCACCCTCATGGCCCACACCCCAGGTTGCCCACCCAGGCACTTAGGATGGGTGGGCCTGGCAGGGTGGGTGAGGGGGAGGCTCAGCTACCTGTAGGTTTGGGGCTCCCCTGGCAGGGGAGGTTGGTCCTGACCCTGGGGCAGATCTAGCGTGGGAGGAGGGTCAGTGCCCACTCACGCCCCCTCTCCACGCTCCGTCTCGCAGGAGCCTGATGCCCCGCACCCTGGACGGACAGATCACCCTGGAGAAGACCCCCAGCTACTTCGTGACGCGGGAGGCCCCGCGCCGCATCCACAGCATGTCCCCGGCCACGAAGCTGATCGTGGTCGTGCGGAACCCCGTGACCCGGGCCATCTCCGACTACGCGCAGACCCTCTCCAAGACCCCGGGCCTGCCCAGCTTCGGCGCCCTGGCCTTCCGCCGTGGCCTGGGCCCCGTGGACACGGCCTGGAGCGCCGTACGCATCGGCCTGTACGCGCAGCACCTGGACAACTGGCTGCGCTATTTCCCGCTGTCCCGCTTCCTCTTCGTCAGTGGCGAGCGCCTGGTCAGCGACCCCGCTGGGGAGCTGGGCCGTGTGCAGGACTTCCTGGGCCTCAGGCGGGTCGTCACGGACAAGCACTTCTACTTCAACGCCACCAAGGGCTTCCCCTGCCTCAAGAAGGCACAGGGCAGCGGCCGGCCACGCTGCCTGGGCAAGTCCAAGGGCCGGCCACACCCGCGTGTGCCCGAGGCTGTGGTCCAGCGCCTTCGGGCCTTCTACCGGCCCTTCAACCACAAGTTCTACCAGATGACCGGCCAGGACTTTGGCTGGGACTGACGGGGCTGGGGCCCACACCCTGCCTGGGGACGCTCAGTGACTTTAATTTATGCCCATCACCCGGCCTGAGCAGACCTTGGGCACATGCTGGGTGGAGAGAAATCTTTACTAAATAAAGTTTGCATCTGTGTTCTTCTAGGAGCCCTTGAGGGTTGGAGGGTGGGGCTGGAGTTGCCACCTCCTGGAGGTAGAAGTGGAAAGTGAAAGTTGCTCAATCGTGTCTGACTCTTTGGGACCCCATAGACTGTAGCCCACCAGGTTCCTTTGTCTATAGGATTCTCCAGGCAAGAATACTGGAGTGAGTTGCCATTCCCTTCTCCAGGGGATCTTCCCGATCCAGGGGTTGAACCTGGGTCTCCTGCACTGCAGGCAGATTCTTTACCATCTGAGCCACCAGGTCAGACCCTCTGGGGTTGGGGATAATCATACCAGCTAACATGGCCGGGGACAATTCATGCCAGGAGTGGACAGAAGCCCGATCCTTATCTATCCCTTGAGGTGGGTAGTGAGCTTGGTGCCTGTCACAAGCAAGCAACTTAGGCTCAGAGAGGTTTGGGTCCTGCTCGGTGACACAGCTCCGCCCTGGAGACTCTGGAGACCACCCTCAGGCTCTCTTCTCAGCCCTGGGAGGCCGAGCTGGGCCTTCCCCTGTTCCAGGTAGGGGAGCGGAGGCCCCAGCTTGCCCACCTGAGATGAGTCTGTGTGGTTCTCCAGGCTGCACCCGCGATCCCAGCTCATTCTGTGTCCCTGTGCCCAGTGGACACCTGCTCCTGGAAACCTGATGGACTCTCCGGACAGCGGGTGTGGGGGACTCCTGTGTGCAGAGTGGTTCTTCTGACAGCCTCCAGGCAGCTCCCTGCATAGCCCTGCATCACCACCCCGAGGCTCTGACCATCACAGGCCCCGCCCACCAGACTCTGCAGGGCACGCCCACTCCCCAGGCCCTCTGGGCCCCACTTCTGTGGTGTTTATCCAATTTCCTCCCCTGGGGATGGGCAAGCAAGAATGCCCAGCTGCAGCCCAGCTGCCAGCTCGGCTCTTAACCAGGCTGGGCTGGACTGGGGCAGGCTGGGGTGCCCAGTCCATCTGTCTTCCCCCAGAAACCCAGGGCCCCCTCAGTAATGATTGTCACCTGCCTCTGGCCATAGTGCTGTCTGCCAGGTGCTCACCAGCTGTCCTGACTGTAATCTCCAGGGCCCCTTAGGCCCAGGCCTGGCACACCCTGGCCCAGTCCTTGGGTCCATGTCAGATGGTCAGGCTGGGAAGGGGCTGGTGGAAATATGGTGGCAGACATGGGTGGATGTGGATGTGCCCACAACCCCCTCCCCCTGGACTCAGAACCCTGATCTGGGTGTGGGGGAGGGCTGGCTTGTTGCAACAGTGAGGAGGGGTGACACCCTGCTTTGGAATCCTGCTGGGTGGTGAGCACCGGCCTTGGCAGCCCTGTGCCGCTCCCCAGTCCCCAGTTAGGGCCGGCATGGGGCAAGGGGGGAGGCAGGACGGCCCTGACTGCTGGGCCTGTGGCCAGCCAGGACCTTGCGTGATTCTCCTCCCAGGACCTACCCTTGTGCACACTTTTGCCCCCTCCTGAGCGGATGGCTCCAGGAGCATGGCAGCCAGAGGGGCATCTTCAGAGTAACCCAGATGCTATTATTTTAAAACCTGCCAATCTTCTCCCCACCCTCTTGCTTCTAGAATGAAGACCAGATGCCTCACTGCAGCCGTTCACGCCCTCTGAGGCACGTCCCTCCGCCTGGTCTCTGTCCTCTCCTAGCTGGCCTCGAGGTTTCTCCCGTCGGCTCCTCCCACCCGCCAGGACTTGCCAGTCTCACAGCCTTTGCACATGCTGTTCCCCCTGCTGGGGATGCTGTTCCCTGCAGAAGGTGTCGACTGAGAGGGAGGCAGCCGTAGGCCCTGCAGCTGAGCTCTCAGCTGGCTCATTTCCTCCTAAGAGGTGCTTGGAGTTACGAGCCTGCCATGGGACCTCCTTCTCCTTCCCAAAGCCTGGATGTAGAGCTGGCAGGGGCCCTAGCTTGTCTGGTTTGGGGGCCAGGCCCCACTCAGCAGGCAGTCTGGAAGCAGTGAAGAGAAAAGGTAGACAGCCTTGCTCTGCTCAACCTGCTGCCCGTGGAGACCAGGCCGAAGGGCCAGCACCCAGCACCAGGTGCCCAGCTGGGCCTCGGAACGCACTGAGGGCAGCCATGGGGGTCCTCCTGGCTGTGCGTGGGGGTGGGGCTCCATGGGAGAGTCACCGGCCTTTAATTAAAGCCCCTAAATTGCTTCCCCAGCTGTTCAGTGGGTTTTCCATGTTGGAATGTTCCAGATGGAGTGAGCAATGCTGATTCAATTACCCTCTTCCTGTTCCTCCCAGTGAAGAAGGGGATGGAGGTGGGGTGGGGCTGGGGGCTCTTCACAGCCCTGGGTGTCTGGGAGGAGCTTGGAGACGTCTGGGGAGGTGGCTGCTTCAAACTTGGAGGTGGTTTCCCCCAAGTCCTTCTAGCTGTGGTTGGTACAGGTTCCAGCGGGGTGAGGACAGCGTTCTCCACTCAGCCTTACAGGCACTGGAGACCCCGAGCAGACCCTGACGGCCCGAGTGCTCCCTGCACCAGGCTGGAGACCCAGATCCAGCCTACCCATTGACCCCAACATCCTTTTATGTCGTGCGACCTAATTCTAGATGAGGGGAGGAGCCCCAGAAAATCCTGGCAACTTTATTATTATTATTTACTTATTTGGCTGCATTGTCTCTTTAGTCGTGGCATGTGAACTCTCAGTTGGGGCATGTGGGATCTAGTTCCCCGACTAGGGAACGAACCCGGGCCCCCTGCCTTGGGCGCATGGAGTCTTAACCACTGAACCGCCAGGGAGGCTCTAAGTGCTGGCAGCTTGACCTTCATCCTCCTGCCATCCGTGGGCCCCTTGTGCTCCTCCCTGGGACTCTCTAGCTCTGAAGTTGCTTTCTCTCTTTCGTGCATGTCCATCTTATGCTCCCTAAGGAGAGGGACCACCTTCCAAAATAGCGGGAAAAGCACAGGGGTGGGGGCCGCAGGTGTCTCAAGTGGGCGGCAGACAGGAGGTCAGGAGATGGAGGGCTGGGTAAGGAAACTGTGCCTGTGGAACAAGTCCTCCATGGATACAGAAGAGTGGAAAACAAGTGTGCAAATAAAACTCTGCAGACCGGCATTCATGGCTGCTCTCTTCTCAAGGGCCAAAGGGCAGAATCAACTCGTGTCCATTAATGAGTGAAAGAATAAACAAACTGTGGTCCATCCATAAGATGGAATACTATTCAGCCATAAAAAGGATGAAGTGGTGACAAACCAACAACATTAGCACACTTGGAAAAAACTCAGTGAAAGAAGACAGTCACAAAGGGTCACATATCTTATGATTGCATGCATAGGAAGTTCCCAGAACAGCAAGTCCATACATAGAAACAGGAAACAGATCAATGGTTTCTAGGGGCTCAGAGACTGGAGCGGGGCCTGGGGGTGAGCACTTAATGGGTGTGGTGGTGGCTGCACAACTCTATGAATGTACCAAACACCACTGAGTCGCTCAATTTATTTTGTCATGTGAATTTCACCTTCGTTAAAAATAGGAAGACTTCCATAGAAAACTCAGCAGTATAGGTGCTGAGTGCTCACTCTCTCATGGAGTGAGAGAGAAACCTTTGGAGGATATTAGTTCGGCAAGGACGTGAAGGAATAGCTAAGGAACGCTGAGCATAGTTGGAATGGGATGGAAGTTAAGTGGGGGCGCCGTTCAGGGTCGTGAAGTGAGCCCCCTTCGTGTCGGAGACCTCACGGAGCTGGCTCTGCTGTCGGGAAGGTGCCCTGTCCCCAGCCACACGTCCCCTACCTGCGCCCTCAGCCCTCAGCTGAGACGGGGCCGACCGCAGTTCTCTCTCCCCCAGCCGCCTGGTCCCCGAATGCTCAGCCCAGCTCTGCGTTCCCGGGAGTCGCCTGGCCGGCCTTGGTTCCTCTCCCTGTCCCTCGGGCAGCAAGCTGGGGTGAGTGAGGGACTCACCTGCATGTCTCCTGTCTCTCAGCTACACTGTCTGGTGCTGCCTGCTGTCCAATATCTGAAAAGCACGATTTGGCAGATTTTGTCCCGTTTTTCACTTGTTTCAGGCAGAAGGGTAATCTCGGCCCCTGTTACTCTGTCTTGGCTGGAAGCAGAGACTTTCACGTCAGAGAGAAAGAAGCGACTGTGTCATCCTGAAGAAAGAGACCGAACAGCTCTGGCCGGGCTCTGGACCTGCAGTCGCCGTGAATGGGACACGTCCCCTCCGAGGATCCCAGGATGGGCAGGGCTGGCTCCTGTCGGACTTCCTGGGGCAAGTCTGACCACTCTGGCCCACGCTGGGACTGGCTGGAGGCGTGTGCCTGCCACGGTGCCCACGGTCACTCACCCGTCCCTCCTGCCTGCTCCGTCTGCATCTAAGACGCAAGGCGGGTCCTGACATCTAGAGGTGAAGGAGACTTTGGGTCCCGCCGCCCCTGTGCTGGGAGGGAGGAAGGGGATGTGGGCTCCTTGGGCCTCTGAGGGGCCAGCGTGTGTAGGCCTTGCCGTCAGAGAGTCCAGCTCCGGATGGACCCACGTAGACTGGTACCACAGGAGATGGCTTCGAGTCCATACACCTTGTTACTCAGTTGCACTGAGCTCTGCATGGCCCTGGACTGGCTCCGCGGGCTCAGGGGCCACTGAGGGCCTTGTGGGGCCAACACCGCCTGGAGGGGGGCAATTAGACCCAGAGGTCCAGGCTTCTAATCAACTGTCTCAAATTGTGCCCTTGGGATTTTCATCCATGGAGGTGAACGGACTGTGATGACACAGCCCAATGCCATTAAAAGAACTTTTATTCATTTATTTATTTTTGGCTGTGCTGCACTGGCCTGTGGGATCCTATCTTCCCTGATAAGGATGGAACCCAGGCCCCCTGCAGTGGAAACATGGAGTCTTAACCACTGGACTGCCAGAGGAGTTCCATAAAAGAATATTTTTATTACTTACATTTCCCAAGAGAGAAGGGGCATGCCATGCCATGCCAGGCCACCTGGGGAAGCACCAGCGTTGACCCCGGAGGAGGAAATAAGCCAGGGAAACTGAGATCACAGCCTTGGCTG